TCTGATGGGGGCCGAACTAAAACATCTTCCACACACCTTCGTAGCATCAAAGCCCTTGTAATAGATCTATCTGCTCCAGGAAAACACTGTAGATCCGCATTTTTGACTTCGTCTGGCCATTTATGAAGCGAAAGTTTTGCAGTGCGCATTGCCTCAACGACTCCGTTACAGTCTTCTTCGGACCGCTTCGGTGTGGTGTCGATGCAAAAATTATGCAAAACCATTGCTGCGCAGACTATTCTGGTATTAGCTTCAATTGAAAACCCGAGTGGCTTCATAAAATACCCCATCTTCTCTTAAGAATGCCGAAAGCTTGCTCGACATGCATCCTTAAAGAGCTCTGATAAAAATTATAACCCTCTTCATATGCCCCATTCATGGATGATGAAAATGGAGTGACTACGTAATTGGTGCACTTGTACGCATCGTCGGCAGCAATCCAGAAGCCAAGAGGCGTAGACTGGTTTTGTAAAAGTATGCCGAGACTGGACATCGCATGCGCTACAGCGTCATGAGTTGAACCAACACAACTGGCCGAAAAAGATACGAATGGGTAGCGAGCATCAACAACAACTTGAACAGGTAAAGCGTAGTAGCCCTTGCGATTATAAAAAGAGGCCGGATTCGGAACGTCTCTTGGCTTCTCAGTCGGGATGGCATTTCCATCCAAAGCACCAACACACCAGTCAAATGGACTGCCCCTCTTTCGTGATGTTTTGAATTCCAACGCACGCTGCTCCAAAACCCTTGTGTCGGTCATGGCGGAAGGTGCCATTCCCAGGCGCTGCACAATTAGGTCCACTGTATCGTGAAATGCATTGTACACAGTTGCGCTGCAAACATTGAAAGCCCATTGGACGTACAAATACGTGCTTCCGGCGAGCATTCGGAGCGTAATTGCCAGTTTGGTCGAATAGCACAGCACATTCGTTCCGCTTTGTTTTGTCATACTTCTGGTCAGTAGAGAACGCATTCGGGTTTCAAGATGTTTGAAACACGCTCTAGTCATTCGGAATGTCACTCTGAAGTCCCTGTCCGATAAAGATGATATAGTGGACCAGAAATCTGTCCGTGATCGAAAACGTAACTCTCGTCTAATGACACAGTTCCGTCTTTTCTGCATGCGTCGAATTAAAATCGCAATGCACAACATAAACAAGGGCCCTGCCTGATCGCGTCTATCTGCATGCGTCATTGAGGAGGACATTTCTGACGACCCGATGTGCAGGTGATGTGCAGGATAGTGTAGATGGAGTGCCTGGGTTTAGCTTGAAGGTCTACGAAAGGGGAGCGACGGCGCTACAGTTGTAATCTGTTTATCGCAGGCCTATCGTAAGGGTAAAGCAAGAGGCGAGCTAGAAGGGTCTATTTCCCTTTCGATAGTGCAGATGCACAAGGGTTGTGCACTGCGCATGACCACCCAGTGTTTAGGCTTGCAATGCGTTATGGGGCGTTTCGCCGGGAGTCAAACCCGCGGAGATGCGTTCTACATTGTTTCGTGTATCTGTCTATTTGTACACAGATATACAGATATACAGATTTACATGGGAGAATTATTGCCAAGTAGAACGGCCCTGAGGGCCGTTCTACTTGGCAATAAAAATTTCAGGGCCGTGAGGGCCGTTCAGGGCCGTTCTACTTGGCAATAATTCTCCCGAGTTACAACTGTACAGTACGTGCCGTGGTTTCTAAGATCGAAGCGGATACAGTACAGTCCTTGTTACCTACGTGTCGCAGAGCTTCGTTTCTCGAGCGACACTCCGACATTGCACTCGCCATCGGAATACTACGCTTTGAAGGGTCCCTTCCAAGGGTAGAACGTCTACACCATTTGGCATTTGCAGTTCGGCTAAAGGAATTCCGTATCTTCGAAAACCAGTCTCATCTTTCGAGAGACCCTGCAACATTAAACATCAAATTTTGCCCTTGCCGATGTGCATACATGAGCATGTCTGCCTCTGCCGACATGACGCTCGCCAACATGACCCTCTTCCGAGTTGTCGTGCAGTAATCGCTTTCCCACTTTGCCTCTTGCTCTATCCGACGGGGCTCGAGCTCTCGGGCGCCCGGTGTTTGAGCCCACAAAGTGAGCTGACGCTATTCATTAAAACAGGCCTTCTTTCTGCCTCTCATCTTGCTGCTGTGTTGCGTTGTAACGCATCGTGGCAGCACAAACGGTTCTCGAGGCACGGCTCTGCCCGATGCGTTAAGAACAAGGACGCGCGGACGGCTCGCTGTAACCTCTTCTCTGTGACATCACACAGTACTGTACCTGCTAGTTGTTTTTGATGTTGTCAACAACATACTGCTGTAATATAGGTCCCGCGCAGAGTCGATTTGCCTGTAACACAGATGTTATTCAGGAGAAACATCTGGGTAAGGATTATCATGTAGTAACGCAAGTGAACGCAATTGTAACGCAGGTGAACGCAATTTCTAGATGTAAAAAACAGAGACGGTTGGCAGAAAACGGCGCGCTAACGCCGCAAGGAGCGGGAGGGCTGGTGCTGAGAAACGGATGACTGCCGAAGGGCCTCGTCGTTGACCAGCACTGCCACCACCCCTTGAAAAACTACGAGAAGCGACGGCGGGCGCGTGAGACTAGAAGTCACGCGGGTGACGTCGGTGACCTGTCACCGTGGTGTCAGCGAGAGCGGCGGTGAGGGGCATTACACTGTGATCAAATTGACGATGGAGTGGAGCCGGCCACTCTGTACAGCATTTATACAGTACCTGTACAGTACCGGACACCATTCTATTTTCGCCTTTCGGCTCGTGGCTTTCAGCCACGAGCGCTGCCGTCCGATTATATACCTGGGACTGCCACCTCTCTCGATCTAGCGAGGGTAAGAGGGAACTAAGTAAAGACTGACCATCGTCACTTTACTTTTATCTGCGCCGAAGCGTAGATCCTCGATCCCGCACGCGTCTCTACACTCACCAACGCTTCCGCTACCGGACAACGTCTTCCCTCGTCTCAGCTTGGACTGAGATCGCGCTGTCAGCCCAGACCCTCGTGTGCAGCGACACCGGATTCTGGTGGTACCGCTCTCCAATACCCGTGTGCAGCGACACAAATGATACATATCCGTAATATAGGTCCCGCGCAGAGTCGATTTGCCAAGTAGGCGAGACTGCCCGTGACGTACCAGTGACGCAGGTCACGGGACGTCACTGAAGAGCAGCAGGGGGCGCAAAGCGCCCAAAAAAGAACCGTGCCGCCGGTGTAACCGGCATTAATGCGTCTAGGTAATGCTTATGCACCACCTCAGACGAGCTGTGGTTGGAGATCCGCATGATGGTCTCCAGCCGCACCCCCGCGGCATAGGCGGCGGATATCCCGCCGCTGCGGAGCGAGCGGGCGGTGAAGCAGGTGCCCGCGGGGGGTCGGATGCTCGCGACGAGGGCGTCGAGGGAGGCCCGCAGCGTGGCGGCGGTGAGTGGAGCGCGTTTGTGCGGGTACCTTGGGAACAGGTAGGAGCTTGGCGACGGGTCAGCGGCAACGAGCTTGAAGAGAAGCTGGTAGACGCGGTCAGCAGAGGAAGAGACGGGGATGCGTAGGGCGATGCGCGGCGATGCGCCCTGTTCCGAAAACTTGAAGTGGACCATCTGCACAGTCACTTCTCCAGAGCTGAACTCAACGTCCCGCCGACGAAGTAGGCGTATGCTTGCCGGCCGACAGCAGATTAAAAATCTGAGGGCTACAATTCCCCACTCCTGTAGACGGCGGACGTTGGAGGTCTCTAGCGCCAGCGTCATCGCGCGTAGCGCACAGTCCGCCGGGAGAGGTGCGGAGCGCTTCGGGGGACCACCAGAGCGGGCCGCGTCGTTCGACAGGTACCCCTGGCGAGTAGCGCAGACAAGAGGATCTTTGGTTGGGTCTTGGTAGCCACAGCGGCGGTGTTGCGAGCCTATGGCCGCGACGTACGGTCGGATGGAGCCGCCCCGCACTGTGCCCTTGCCATAAAGATGTCCGAGATAGCACGCCACAGTGACCGGGGTGGCAGGGAGTCTAGAGAACCCATCGCCGTCGCAGAAAGCAGTAAACGCCTCCCAATGATGGTGGTAGGCGCTTTGGGTATTGGCGGAAAGGTTGCGGCCGAGCAGGTGCGCCGCGTGTGTGGCACCCGCCCGGAGTTCTAGTAGCCGCGCAGCCGCGACTCTGCCTTCCTCCTGCCATCGATGGCGGGCGGAGGCTTGAAAGCGAACGCGACGCTCTCCCAAGGCGGCGTCACGCTCGCCAGGAGCGGAGTCGGACGCACGACGGCAGCGGCGCTCTGGTACCACTGCTGCTTGGGCCAGCGTGGGGCGACGACCACTTCTGATTGCGTACGGAGGAAGCGCGCCCACACACCCAGCAGAGCGGGGCGCGGCACGACGACTGGAACTGAATGAGGAAAAGGCATGTGACCGGGCAGCGCATTTCCATCGACCAAATAGAGGGGCAACGCGAAACGCCTTTCCAGAAGTAGCTTGGCATCCGGTGGTAGATGCCAAGCGAAACTGTCCCGCCGGCGGGAGAGGCGGTCTGCCCAGCAGTTTAGAACCGAGGGGAGGTGCCGGGTAGAAAGAGAGATGCCGTTGGCCTCGAAGAGGTTGCGTATAAGGCGCAACTTAGCGAGAACACGCGGCCAGCGGCTGGTGTAGTTGCGCACCACGTGCACGGTGACGACCGAGTCCGTCACCAGGAGCACGTGGCGCCGCCTCGCGAACGGCAAGAACTTCTCCAGGGCGAGGAGAGCGGCGCTCAACTCCAGCTCGTTGATGTGAGCGCCGTCGTCCGCCTCGGTAAAGAAACCCGAGGCCGGTACTGCTCCTTTCCAGGCCGCTCCCCACCCGGCCATGCTTGCGTCTGTGAAGAGGCACGCGTCTGGCTCCGGCCAAATCGCCCGCCCGATGTGCAGGTTGAAGGAGAGTCGTCCCCACCACTGCAGGTCTCTCATGGCCGCGTGGGAGAGGTGCGGGTCGCGCTCCCGAGGCCCTCTGCGGGCGTGACCATCTCACGCGTCACGCGTGACGTCACGCGTGCGTGACACTTTGATTTCTGACGAAGTATGAGGCTTTTGAGGCAAGTGTGGTGTGACCGGTGACAGTGACAGGGCAGTGAACAGCTCCCGCAGGCGCAGCCTGCAGTCGACTACTGCAGGCGAGCTTGCGTTGGCTAGGCCGGCGAAGCGCTCCACGTCCTTGCGCTTGACGTAACGGCGGTGCCGCGAGGCGTATCGGAGGAGGCGCGCTGCCCCGGCCTCGATGGGCTGCAGCTTCTTGGGGGACAGAAGAAACCGCTCCTCCTCGGTATCGACGAGAATACCGAGGAGCTCGAGCCGCGTTGACCCGCTGAAGAAGCACTTTCCCGGGTGCAAGTTCAGGCCGAGCTTCGCGAAGAGTAGCGGCATAACTCTTCCGAGCTCGACCGTCTCCTTCTGGCCAGTGGCGGTGTCGGGTCGACCGGGCTTTGCGGCGCCAAAAAAGTCGTCGAGGTACGCGAAGACCCGGTGGCCGAGGCGGCGCAGCCACGCTACCACTGGACTCATCGCCTTGGTGAAGAACCAAGGCGCGACGGCGAGGCCACAGTTCAGGCACAGCGGAACGTAGATGCGGCTTCCGACGTAGAAAGCGAGCCGCATCTTGTCGACCTTCCGGACGCGCAGATGGTAGTACGCGTCCTGGATGTCCGCCTTGAACAGGTGGTCGCCCTTGCGCAGCTCGGAGGCGAGGTCCGAGATCTGGTCCATGCGAAAGGTCCCCGCCTCCATGCACTCATTTGCCCGCTTGTAGTCGACGACGAGCAGGCTCTTTCCCCTCGTATTGGCGACGAACGACGGGAAGATCTGGCCGGCTCGCGTCAACGTCCGGGCTTCCGACGCAGTTGCCCTGCGGGCGAACCCTCTCGACAACCACCGCGCTAGCTCCGTCTCCGCGAACAACGCATCCTCCCGTGACAAGAGATAAGGCCGCGGGCGCTGGTACGGAACCTCCCCTAACTAGGGGAGCTGAAGCCCTAAGCGAAGATGACGTGCCAGCCACGGGCTGGCTCCCAGCCTCTCCCAGGTCGCATGGGCCTTCCCCACGCCCACATATGGCGGCCCGCCTGAGCTGCTCATCCGGGTGGCTATATCTGTCTACGTCCACGCCCACGTCCACGGTCGCGTCCTCTACCACGGCCTCCACCTCCGGCAGGGGTCGGGGTTGCGGCGTTGAGGGCAGCGGCGGCGCTTCCTCCGCGAAGGATAGGTGTCTGCGTGGGTCCTCGGCGTCGGCCGGCGGCTTGTGCCGCGTACTTAATCTGCTGGACTTGCTGCCGGCGGAACGCTTGACGCCCAGGAGTACTGAACGCGGCCGGGGGGTCGACGTAGGCCGCGAGCAGTTCCGGGTCGGCGACGCCGGCTGCGCCCTGACGCCCGCAGAGCACCTCGTATTTCGAGGCGATGAGCTCGTAGACACCAAAGACACTAACGTGCGCGATGGAGGCTCATTAGGCCGCCCGTCCGAGGGCCTCCCAGTCGGTCGGCGATTCAAGCCGAGGGAGGACGTCGACAATGTCGCTAAGGAGGTCGAGGAGCTGGTTCGATATGCGGCAGAGGTAAGCAGAGGTGACGTACAGAGTACCGGCTTCACTTGCTCTACCCGGACTGGTCTGCGAAGCAGCGAACTTCCGGTAGTGCTCGACAGAATCAGGCTTGAAGCCAACCGGAAAGCCTCCCTCAAAACGGCGGGGGACTTCGAATCGGACCGGGATGGGTTAGCCTCTCCTCTCATACCACTCGTCGGTGAAAGCCTGGGCTCCTGCGCTCCCCTCAGGATCGCACTGAGTTCCTTCTTCCTCATACTCGTCCTCGTCTTCGTCTCCTTCGGGCTCGTCGACGGGCTCGGTGGGATCGGGGACCAGACCCGGAGTCGCTTCGGGATCGACTGATGCCGCGGAAGCGACGGCCCTGTCGACGATTGGAGCGGCGGGTGCGGTTCCGGAAGAAGGAGGAACCTGCGCGTCTGGGATCGGGTTATTCGCGTCGGTAGGTGCTGCTTGTGACCCCGCATTCGGTTGCAGGGATTGGAGGGCGATCTTGGGTTGATCGGCAATGAACGCCGAGATCGCGGATGATGTTGCTGCGTCGAGCGCAGGCAACTCGATGTTGCTGGCTGCGGCAGGGGCCGAGGGAGTAGCTGAATCAGCGGGTTGTTCTCCTGACATTCCGCGCGGCGAGACCGGTAGCGGAAAACTGTGTCAAACCACCGCACTAGAGGCACGGGGAAATCGTTCCTCTTGCTGAAAAACGGATGACTGCCGAAGGGCCTCGTCGTTGACCAGCACTACCACCACCCCTTGATAAATTACGAGAAGCGACGGCGGGTGCGTGAGACTAGAAGTCACGCGGGTGACGTCGGTGACCTGTCACCGTGGTGTCAGCGAGAGCGGCGGTGAGGGGCATTACACTGTGATCAAATGGTACATATCCGTAACTGCGTTGGGCTACCGTTGCATGCAATCGTCGTTACACAGCTGTGAAAAACGATTGCGTCCATGCAACGGTACACGGGGGTGCCCCTATGAATGGAACAGTTTCAGAAATATAAATGAAAATAGGCTATCTTTATGCAATGCTCAGAATTTCGACGTGGCTGGAAAGCTAACAACTGCTTTTATTTGTGTGCAGGGCGCCAAAAAAGGAAAAGCCGCCGTTTCGAAGCAGTGAACAAAGCGCTTCCGAAGGCCAAAACACAAATATCTGCTCAACAGCACCTAATACTGGTACCATTGACAATCATACAATATAATTTTTGAAAGCTTTTTTGAAACATGTCCAACGGTCCTCCGAAGGGCTCCGACTCGAACTGATCACAAGACAACTCATTCCATGGCGCTGTGATTATCTGCTCATCGGTCAGCGATTCAGTGCCATTTGCCAAGGCCTTGTTCACGATTGCCTGCTGCCTCGCTAGCTTGCGACGCAACTGTAGACTCCGAGGCATGTTCATCGGCGCGTTATAAGATGCAGCACGATAAAACATCATTCGATGTTCGTACGCCTCCCTGTCTCTTCTACGCGCTATGGACTCTACGGCAAACTTTGCCTCTATGGCATCCTCCTTGCGTCGTGCACACAACGCTTTCATTCTCTCGGCTGCTTCCTTTGCAGCCACCAATTCGAGAGCAGGTGCACTAGTCAGCACACATCCTGCTGCCGTATCAACAAAACCTCTCTTCAAAAATACAGGTCGTATGCCCGCATTTTGGCGGAAGGCTTCGCGCTTTTCATTTAGCATGCACTTCATTTCCTCCACAGATGCAATGCTATATAGAAAATTACTGGACAGTGGCCGAAGTATTCCAATACTTTTTGAGGGATCGAATGGACACACGCCGGACTTTTCAAAACTACCCTTGATAATACGAGGTATGAAAGTTTCCTGATATGCCTCTCGCATTACGATACAGATGTCGAAGACATCCAAAGCATTATCTCTGGTAGCAAATGACACGTTTCGAAGAACCTCAATGACGCGTTGCTTGAAGGGCCCAAAAGTCCCCACATCTAGCGGCTGCGTTGCACCACTAGTGTGGGCAGGAATGGCGTAGGCAATTATTCCCCCACGGTCAAGAATCGAAAGTGCTTCGAAACTCATGTGACTTCTGTATGCGTCATAAAGAAGCAGCAGCTTCCTACTCCCCGCCGTTAAGTCCTTCACGTCCTCCACAAACGAAGAAGCCCATGTTATGAAAATGCTTTTGTCGATTCCAGCAACTCCATCCCTCGTCGCAATCATGCTGCCTCTCGAGAGGCAGTCAGCAACAGTTTCCGTTTGTTCTATTCCGCTTCGCTGAATGGTGCGATAGGGAACCGATTTGCCCTTGAAAACAAACACAGGATTTGCAGCGTCACCTGATGCAAAAACCACCGGCATCATCGTGATGCGATGATTGTATGAAAAATTAACCAGCTTTTGCTCAGTTTGGGAATTACGTAGACCGTAATGTTTATGCTTGGAAGAACCAAGTTTCTGCTTGCCTGGCGAAATACCTGACTCATCCAGATTGGCAATTCTTGACGGATCTATACTGTTGGTCTTTATGACATCCTCCAAGGCGGCAAAGTACGAAATCAAATTCTCAGCATTAGTGCACCTAAACCGCTTCCCTTCCTGCGGACTACTCTTGCCAAATCTTATGCGACGTTTGTGTCTTGCCTCAAATGATTGAGCAAACTTGCGACCGGGACGCAAGTTCTTGAATGTCAACTTTCTCTGCCTGTGTTCTGGCGTTCTACAACACATTAATTCCACAGCATCATAAAGGTCCATCCTGGTAAGCTCGTAGCTTTGACTGGAGAACTGTGTTAGCAGAGAAATAAGGCTGTTCTCTTCGCTCGCGGTTAGGGCAGGCTTCCGTCCTCGCGACTTCACATCAATGCACTGCGTCCGTCTTTTGAATTGTCGGCTGAATGTCGTGAGGGCTACGCGGCCAAACGCCGCACCCTTGCGCAAAGAAAGACCTTTGTCTACCGCGATAAAGGCCTGCTGTAGTCTGCGGCCATGTTTTGTCAACTTCGTCATAGTAGTTGAGCACCCAGGAGCCAGTATTGTGACTGGATTGCCGGGCTTGGGAAAAGGAAGTGGTAGGATATGAGGTATTGAGTCTGTAGGAAATAGGCGGGCAATTTGTTTTGCGCGCCATGTGGCAATGGTTTGGATTTTTTCTACGATTCCATCTCCATACAGTAATCAAGCTCCGATAAAAGCACCTCTAACATCATAAAGAACCTGGCGGCTATAGTTTCGGCGTCACGGCCATGCAAAGGAGCGAAATTCATGGAAAATGTGCACTCATGGACCAGAAAGCTTTAATGATGCTTAAATTTTGCATATATTCCTCTGTTCCGCAAATGGGTGCACTGTACCATTTTATGGGGCACCCCCTTTTACTATACCGTTGTGAGAAGTAAAAGCAATTTCAATTACTATTGCTTACTCATAATTACAAAGCGCGGCACCACAAGTGAACTGACACCGGTAGTCCACGTACGATGTTCACTCGAAGGTATACGCTCGAGCGACACAGCCTCCAGGAGGTTGTCAACACAACAGACCTGATTGCGAAGGTGCGGGAAAAGAAGCACCCATATCCGATGCAAGGTAATTGGGCTAAAGGATCCTGAATGCAGTCTAGAAGGGCAAAAAGAAAGCCACACCGACACTGATAGGAAACGAATCGAGGAACGCAAAGGCAAAGCATCGCACCGAGGAAATGCAGAAGTGAAAGGACGCCGAGTAGAATCGAAAGGCTAATCGAGAGGAAGAAGCGGGAAGCGAGGTAGATATATGGCTAGTCCTAGGAAGAGAGGAACAGAGAGAGAGGTAGCGGAGAAAAAAAGCAATAACACCTCAGCAGAGCTTGTCTAAGCTCCCGGCATAGTGCCGAAGATTGTGTTTCCATTGTCCACCATTCCATCTTATCCCTTATCTCCCCCCTCTGTCGTCGATGCTCTATCTCCCTTGGCCTCCAAACCTCCTGGACAGTAACTCAGACATCCTCAATCTACACCATGTCTGAACTTACGAGAGTTATGGGCCCAGGAGGCTCACAAGGTCCGCAATTCAACTACATGGTCCCGCCTAAGCTTAACGAGGACGGTAAAAAGTTCGAATAGAGAAACGATGTACGCGACTAGATGACTATGATACGAATTTATGCTCAAGGAGGAGATAATCGTGCCAAGTGTGCTGTGAATGCGCTCGGCTACACTTTATACATGTCACT